AACCCGAAAAAGCTTAAGGACTCCTGCAGTACAGAGACAAACAACTATAACCAAATACATCCTTAAACTCACCGCCGTGCCCCTGGATACACACTTTTCCAAGTGTTTGAGCCACAAAAGTCAAATTACAGTCCGTTCCAGCTACAAATTACAAACACAGAGAATAAGAGATTACGATGTCTCCTGGCACACACTGTAGTATTCCTAATAATGTGTCATCATTGCTTTACAGATGCCCTTCACCTCTGAGTGCCTGGCAGGTGTGCTCCAGGGCGGTGAGCATTTCTGTGGCCAGCAGTGGGTAGTACTGCTGAGGACGGAAAAGAGCTCTGTTGTTTAACTGTAGCTTGTTGGCGGTAATGTCTGGCAACGCGCTAATACGCCCCAGCAGCGTCTCTCTGAGCTGCGGCGAGTCAGAGGGCGCTGCCTCCAGACAGTAGGACCAGAGCAGCTCAGCCAGGCGACCACGCTGAAGGAACTTCTCAGTGATGCTGACCACATGGTCCAGATTTGAGGTGGGTCTGCAGGGGCGAGACACAGGCATTAAGGTTATTAAAGAAGATGATGATGATAAGCACGTCACACCCAGCACCACCCACCTCAGCTCTCCTATTGCATCCATCAGCACCAGGAGCGCCTGCTCTGGAGGTCCTGCGAGGAAGAGGCCGTCCCACAGCTCTGCGCGCTGGGCTGCTGTCAGCTGGTGTAACCAGTCAGCCTGAATGTTGCTGACCAGCAGCTGCAGAGCGGAAGAGTAGTGAGCTCTCCTGAACTCTGCACGCTCAGCTGAGGTGGCTGTGCTGTCCGGTCCTTCATCCAAGTAGGAGTGGAGTGTCCGAAGAGCCGTAATGATGTCTGAGCTGTCCGTGGATGACTTGAGTGTGCGGAAACACCGGGTCACCGTTAGTCGCACGTCAGTATTTGTAGTCAGCGACTCCATTTTTTTTATAACGGTATTATAACGACAAGCAGCAGTGTTCCTACCAAGGTCTAGCCTCCAACTTACTAAGAAAAGTAGAGAAATAAAAACTTGTGCTACAAAGTATGAAGTCTAGTCGAGTCCCATATGCTGAATGGGTTAGCTTCAGCTGTTAGCCTGTCAAGCTGATGTGCAGCCGCACATTTTTATAACGACACGAGCTTTCATGAGCACGATATATACTCACAGTAAAATGAGGACTTTATTTTCAGGGGAAATCATGCCGCCGTAGCTGTTTGCGATTCCGAGAGTGCAGCACCAAAATACGCTCGTGGTGAGCAGGATAGAATTGGTTCCGGGTATAATCGGTCCGATGTGGCGTTCAAGAAACCTACGATTTATTTAATCTATTTTGGTAACGTTGCAGATTGTCTAATCAGTGGATAACCTCCCTCATATCGATTAACAACACACTTGGATACGCATAATTTATTGTAAATATAACAAGAAATAAAACAATGACTTCGTGCCTTAATGCCAACATCAAAAGGCGAAGTTATAAAAGTACATTTCAACATTACTGACGTTTCAGCAGCTGGTAACTGGAGTATCTGATCAGAGATAAATAGTGTAGCAAACTGACGAATCTTCACGTACTCTAAGTAAAAGTTTATGCTACATAAGTAATAGTACACAAGTATTATTGAAAACTGCAAAAGATTTGTGGTCAGCAGACGAGTTTTAAATTGTATCTGTAGTTAAACCAAGCATCTGGACTTTCAGTTGATCATTACGGTTCATCACATCTTCAGAAATGGTTTCAAGAAGCCTGGAGAACCATTTCTGAAGACTACTTAACTGATTTATGCTGTACTGTGGTGATCAAGTACTCCTCTAATATTTCTGAGCAGTGTAAAATACAATAAAACAGACACACTGAGTTTGGGCAGTTTGTAAACACTGAGCATGAGAGATTTGTGTTGTTTTGAGCATAACCAGCAGATGGTGCCGAAAGGCGAGGAGGAGCCCGACTCCAGCAGCTGGGGGTGAATGGCCGGTTGGAGGCGTCTGTGGTTTGTTGATCAGACAAGGCATCGAGTCCGCGAACAAAATGAGCCAATACCACACAGATCATTTTATTCCTTTATTTTCTAATCTTACTTTCACCTTTACCTTTAAATTTTCTCTGTTTACAATGACTGAATTATAGCTCCCCAAGAACAATTAGGATTAGATCATTTTGGGGATCTCAGAAAAAAAAAAAATACAGCTGTAACCAATACTGTTATAATTTATACATTTATCTTCGAAAATAGTTTTACAGTTTATTTTTTTCCTCTACAATATTCTCTTTTAATCTTCCCATGTCACATAATGGTAAGCCATGCACTACTCCAGTAGTGACGTTTGTGCCTTGAGCAAACTTTCTTTGGACACTGGAAGTGAGCGTGAGATGAAAGAAACAAAAACAAAAGAAATCCACAAAAAAAAAAAAGGAGAAAAAAAAGACAATTCATATTTACAGTTTAGATTTCATCATTATAATTTAACAAACTGACAGTCACGTGGTCAGTGCTTTCCCCAGGGCTCATGATCAGGTTAGTTTAGAGGAGTTTGAGACAGAGGCACAGTGTTTAGACTAGCAGGCCAGTTTCTTCTTCTTTCCTTTCCAAGCCGAAAGCGTGTTTTTATCATTTACTAGAACAGGAGAAGTGTTAATAAAAGTGAATCCTAATGGATAACTTGATCCGTCGATGTTTAAATATGTCTTTGGTCATTTTTAAAAGGCAGGAGTAAAATGAAGAGAGATCTGGTTAAAGTGCAATCACCTTCAGCTCTGCTGAAAGAAAAGATTTTGTCAGCTCTGTGGCTTCACCGACTAATCAAACTGTCGCCAGTCATCAAACCGTCTGTCAGAAAGACAATAAAACACCAATCGAGTGTCATGTATCCCACTGTGCGCAGGTGTCGTCCTGTTTCTACATTATAGCATAATAATGTTATAAAGAATCTGTCGTGGAACCCCCCCCCCCAAAAAAACCCCCAGAACCACAGACAAAATAAAATAAAATAAAAAAGGGCAGGAAGCTGAACAGAGAGCCTGGATACGAGGTTTTGTGTGTCACGTCGAGGTCTCAACCTACAGCTCTGCCGTCCGATGTTTCAGCGTATGATTCTTCAGTGAGAACAAGTCAAACAAGTAAAAATATACATTAAGAAATCTGTGTTTCCATGCAGTACCTGACTCCATCTGGGAAGACGACATTAGAAAACTGCAGACTCAGCCGTATCTAAATCACAACACCCAAGAGGTCAGAGCAGCATCAGCACAATGGAAGAGAGCCCAGACCTCAACAGATCACCGCACTGAGCAGGTCACATTCAAGCTTTGTTTTGCGTTTGCTGACTGCCCCAAACATTATATAACTTTGCTTTAAACTCTCTGAATTCGGTAAATTCGCCCACAGATTCATTCACTGTGAATTAATCACCTCCCCTCATGAATTCAAAAATGTACAAATATATTTTCAGCAGAACAGATCACAGATCAGAGTGTAAGTCGAATAAATATCTGCATGTGATTTAAAATGAGAGAAAAGAGAAACCCAAACGATACTGTACACGCTACATGCTAGAGAAGAGTACAGGCAGCCGTCTCTCAGCATAAGACGAAAAGAAACGCTCTTATTTTTTTTCTCCTGACTATAAAAATACCTAGAATCTAGAATGAGTGTAGAAAAAACTTTACATGTACAAGTCATTTACAGCCAAGGCCATTTTTCATGGAGTGGCAGGTGAAGAAGAGGAGCGGTGAGATAGACTTCAGAGGTGAACGTGTGAAAAACAGGAATTCATTTTAGCGTGTGTGTGTGTGCGGAACGCCATGCTGTTTGGACAAAAATAACCCCCTCCCCCCAGTCTTCATGATACGAGTCCAACAAGATGCCTGGCATGTAAATCCAACTTAAACATCCACTTTCAGGTCAGAGGGGGAAAAAATGTCCATGTGTTTGAAGATGGCTGCAGAGTACCGATGAGCACAGAATCAGTCCTTGTTCCTTCTTGCCGTCCTCAATTACAGCAATAAGGAGAAACGTTTTAAGCAGAGGAAATGGAGAGCAGCTTTTCTTTATCCTGTCCCTTCAACCCACCCATCAATGTCCACTTCATGGGCCAGCATTATTGCTACCAAGGTCTGCCACTTCTCCTCAATGTTATATGCAGATTAGGTCTGGCTGACAGTCAGCAGAAAGCTCATCTGAGCTCTCAATGACAAACTAATCTGAAGTCATGGCTGCAGGATTTTTTTTCCTAAATAAACTCAATTTAATGTAATTATATTAGAGCAATGTAACACCCTCCCCCAATACAGCATGAGTGGGATTCCTTCAGGAACAAATCCCACACTTGACAATCTTCATTTATGATTTCATCCCTTTACAATAAACATTTTTTTCTATTCCATCAACAAAAACAATATTTAAATCAAAATGTAGTGCAAAAGACAAAGTCTGGATTCTTCTCAGTTGTCATTTGTAAGCGTTTCAGTCACAACGACATTTCCACTGATAACAAATCGCTCGTGAAGGAAAAACAAAAACTGATAAGCTTCCCTGTCGCTTTCACTCAGCAAGAGAACGCAGAGGTCAGGTGGGCTGGACTTCACTGAAGCCAAACTACAGTTTCCACCATCACTCGCCAGCTTCCCTTCAAGTTCAGTTCAAGTGTCTGGAGAGTTAAAGTCAGTATACCCAGCCTATACTTTGTGCAATAAATGGGAGATATCTAAATGTTTGTGCCAGTGAGTGATGGGAAGCGTAGTGTTTCCAACCCACCTGAAGACCTGCAGGACCCTGTTTCATTGTAAAAATAAATGATTAAGCAACTTATAAAGCACACAGATCACTTAAAGGTTTCAAGAATGTTTTCCACTCCTAGTGTTGCCAAGCTTCTTCCAAAACCAGAGCAAAAAAGGGGAATGTTGAACACATCGAACACACACACACACACACACACACACACACACACACACACACACACACACACACACACACACACACACACCCCCCCCCTTGAGGCATTCCTTGTCTGCGACCCAGCAGAAGTTTCCTGGAAAAGACGGCTGAGCTCTGTTAAAGGAAAGAAGCGCGCGGGGCTACGAAGCACTGCAAACTTTTAAAATGTTAAGGACAGATTCTACTCGGCTCCTGAGCGGCGCTTCATACGGCTTTTGTTTAAAAACACGATTCAGCGCGGCTCAGATGATCTGAGCCATCATGCTGCCACCATCCCAGCAAGCCTTCGCTGACTGAACTGAGGCATGTGTGGCATAACTAATGAAGACTTTGATCACCTTTTACTTAAGGCCTTTAGGTACAACTGATCAGGTTTTAGCTCTAGCATCGTTTGGAAAAGGGGTTTCTACTTTGTAGGATATTTCCCTCTCACACACATTCATTCACTCAAACGGGGAATCTTGGGTCCCTCTAGCCACCAACATGGACGTCATCAGAACCCAAGTGTTATCAGGAAGGCCGACACAGACCCTCACAAAAAGCACAGACTCGATGGGTACTTAACCAAAAATAAACTAGCTTATTTGTCAACGACAGCCATGAACTGTTTGTTAAATCCTCTCTGATGGGGGGAGTTGGGCGTTACTGTTTATTTTCTCCTTCCAGAATATTTTTTATATCCTCTATTAGAAATATCTCCAATTTTCTTAATTGCAGTCCGTAGAGTCCCTCTGGCTGTTTATTTGACCTCGAGGATGGAGGGGTTGGACTCCATGATGGCCACGATGATTTTGTCAATATAGTCCTGGAGCCTGTAGTTGATCTCCTCCTGCTTGTGAATGGCCTCCATCAGCTGGAAACAGAGAGAAGCAGAAGTGAGGGAAAAGCCGACAGCGAATGCGGTTCACGACTTCTTTCCTCAACCTACCTCTGTGCGAGACACAGAGTTGATCTCTGCAGCCAGGGAGTCAGAGAAGGATGCAGACATCAAATTCTTTGCTCCTTGGATGCTCAGGTTGATAATCTGGCCGTTTAATTCGTCATTCTGCTCCTTAAGAGTACGGTTGTCCTGCAGAGATTAAGTCAGACACTGAATCCATGCAGCTGCTAAATTATTCCCCTCTCCATCTCAAAACCGCAAAGACAACAAAAACAGCAGTATGAGGATTCTTTTGGTACCTGTTTGAGTCGTTTTATTTCCTGCTCCAGCTCGGCTTCACGGGTGCGGGTCTGGTACTCCTGCAGCCCTGCTCCAGGTGAACGTCCTCTCTTTGCCTCAGCCTCCAATTTGTACAGCTGTAGGTGCTCAAGTTGTTTTCGCAGATCTTCAATCAGCTGTGGCACAAACAGATCAAGGATGTGAGGAAAAATCATGTTAATGACAAAAAACGAGATGATGTAAAATTTTAATATGATGTGATCTAGCTGTATTCTGCTTTTTATATTTTTATGCTACGCATTTCAAACAGAGAAAAGAAACAAAACATGTCTGACCTCCTGCGTGGACTCCTTCTCCTTCTGGTTCTGGTGGCGCTCATGGCTCAGCTTGTCGGCCATCTTCCTGCGAGACTCTGTCTCCTCCATCAGCCTGTCGGCCATGGCTTCAGCCTCATCTTGCAGCTTCCGCTTCTCCTGGAGAAGGAAATAAAATAAAAAATAAAGATGTGGAGAAGTGTTAGCAAGAAGAGACAAAAACAATTATAAAATAATTCCCAGTAAGCGTCACAGAAATGGCTTCTGCATAAAAGAGGTTAGTAGTTGGTTCCAGCAGTTAAAATGTTTTTGCTTGTAAATTTCTGTGGAACATATTGTGTTGAGGAAGCCGTGCCTGTGTTGTCATTTCGGAGCTACAGTCCCTACAAGTGAATGCAAGGGAGATATTATGATAGGACCACAAAAGAGAAAAGACAAAGCAACGAGACAATGATGTCATCACCTCCTCTAGTCTCTCGATGTTTGCTCGAAGACAAGGAACGCAGGACCTCAGCTCACCGTTCTCCTCGTCCAGCTGCTGAAGCCTGAGGAACAAGCACAGATCTGTCAAAAAACCAAAAACTCCACAACAGCTCAGTTGATTAATATTTAACAATCTGACTGCACAAGCGAAGAAAAAAAAAAAAAAAAAAAAAAAAAAAAAGTAGCATCAGTGGAAGATTATTGCCATATGGTGGCAGTGCAGAGCCATGAGTCCTCCAATAAAAAAAACAACAACCTCTTCTCACAATGAGCAAGGCTGTTATAAAACACCATTAAATATAAACAACGCAAAAACCCATCTGTTGCAGGCACAAGGGATCAAAGTGCATTTATAATTATAATTACAAGCAGTAAATTAAATACAGTAAAAATCTATATTTTGATATTTCGTGGAGCCACAAAGGTGTAAAAACACCCATTTCCCCCCCTCGCAGTCTCCTCACCTCGCCTGCATGTTTTCGATCTCCAACCCTCTCTCTCGCTCCAGCTTGCTGAGGGCCTCCTTGTGACGCCGGGTTTCCTGCTGCAGTTCCTCGTCAGCTTGGAGCTCCTGCTCCTTAAGCTGCTCCTCAAAGGCATTGGCCCGATGCACCAGCTGAAGGTTCTCCTGGCGCAAGCGTGCATGCTGCTCCCCTGAAGCCTCGGACTCCTTCTCCAGCTCTGCCACTCGGCGCTCAAGGAGGAGCACCTGGACAGTATACACATTTCACAGTTATTAAAAATACACTTGTTTTGACTTATTAATAATTATACCGATCGATCTGGCTGCCAATAAATTTTTTCCTCCTTTCTTTCACAACAACTGCAACAGGTGAAAACTGTTGCAGCTCACTCGGCGTAACCACAACTGTCACCTTGTCTGTGATGTCGTTGTCAGCCAGCTCCAGGATGTCCCGCGTCAAGTCGCTCATGGTGTCCAGAGTCATCGAGCTGTTCTGGAGGAGGTGTCTGCATGTAAAGAGCAAAAACATCACTCCATCTTATCCACTCATATTTGATAAACAACTGCTTCCAAAAACAACCATTAATTACAATAATACTAGAAAAAGGAGCTGATATCTACAGAATACAGAGCTAAAGTTTGGCTTACCTCGCCACTTTCTTGCTGGATAGCCGCTTGCCAGCGCTGGATGGGGAGACAGAACAACAGGAAAAATGGTCAGGAAGAGAAAACGATGAAAAGGAAAGAGACACCGCAGCTTGGTATCCCTATCCAACCCCTCATCCCTCTGTCTACTAGCAGATCTACTAGCAAAACAAAACATGTTGATGAATAATAACTAAAGCTACAAGGGATTCACACACCACAGCACTCTGAACACCAACAAACCAGCATGTATCAATCGTACCCAACAGGTGCTGATGTAGGATCAAACAGATTAACACACACCCATGTGAGTATTACAGAAACCTTTAAAATAAAATAGAAATTTCAGCACTTGGCAAAAATGAATTACATACTTGTGAATTTACAGTTTGTAAATAAACCAAGTTTGGGAATTACTGGGTGTCTGTAATATGGATCCGAGTAAGTCGGAATAAAAGCAGGATCCTTCACTTGACTAGCAGAAGGATTCAGTACAAAGTCAAATGAAGCATGAAGTCAATGATGTGAGGAACGAAAAGAAACTCAGACACCACTCAGCTGTGATTATTTCATACTGCTAATGTCTCAAATGAATGAAACATGAAAATCAGACTATGATGCTTGTTTTCAAATGAGCATTCTTTAAGACTCACAAATCATTTGTTAAGATGGCAACGATGGGAAAAAAAAGAAAATCAGCAATGTTATTCCATTAATATATACTACATGCTAACGCTGCTATCTATCATGCCAATGTCATGCAATCATCATGACAACATGCGTGACACTGCATCTAATCGGCACTGCACACACAGTCACACAGCTTATACCCAGAGGAGGTTGTGAATGACGTGTTACCTAGTCATCTCTAGGAAACTGAGACGAGTGGAGAGGTCCTCAAGACGACTTATTTGTTTGTGACACTGGCTACAGAAAAAGTCCAGCGCCTCCTCCCTGAGGAAGCTCTGAAAGCAGCCAGGGGGAGAAGTGGGTGCACTGGAAAGAGGAAACAAGGAGGAAGAAAAGGAAAGGGAGGATGTGGTGAGTGCTGGACAAGTAAGGGGGTGAACACAGGTGGGAAGGGACACCACTGGGGTATCAGAGAAATCCACAGAAGAGTTTGAAAAGAGTGACAAGTGAAGGCTGCAGTGCTGAGAGGAGACGTGAGACAGACGGCAGTGTGGCTGTGACTCGTGCTCTGGATAGTGTAAGGAAACAAAACATCTCTTAGATAAAGACCGTGCTTATCTTTATTGAGTGATTAGACCCATTTCCATTAATTTGCCTGCCTGAATTTTATTTCCTTGCTGCTCTCTGCACATCACGTCTACCAGCTGCTGTTTATTCAGGGAGAGTCGGACCTGAATTACCTAATAAACTGGCACCCGTTTCGGTTCCTGGAGGCAGAGAGGCTGCGTTACACGACAGACTGAGAGTCACTCGATGGCCATATGCAGCATCATACTGAGCAATTTTCTCCTGACAGCGTGTTAAACGATGCCCACAGCGATGTGTGTTTGTGCAGAACAGGACTAACCCGACAGAGTGTGCACATGTACTCAGTACGGTAATATGTAGATAAATGTGGGGGCGTGTGTGTGTGTAGGCAGCAGCGATACATGCGCCAACAATGAGCATGATTTGCTCAAAACACGGTGACGCATTCACACCGAGTGGGTGAAGCTTGTGGGATGCGGTTATTTTCTGTGTATGAGATTCGAGTCTATCCACTAAACAGATTTTTGCTCAACTTGTAAGGGAAAAGATGCACTTTCTGTTTAAAAATATTACATAATATTTATTTAGAGCTTATATACTTAACAAAAATCTAAGAATTATAATACATCTAGAGTGATGTAGCCTTCCTCTAATGTTAACAAAGGCTTTACTAAAACAGCAGGAACTGAGTGAGGCTGTACTTGACGTCTTTAATAGTGATAACTGAAATGGTATTATTAGTGCCAATCCAGTTACCCCATCTTATTTCTGCATTGTCAGTAGGCTACAACAACTAGGCAGTTAGCTGTTAAGAGCTTCCTGGCAAGTCAAGTCACTGAAATATCACCCAAGCGGATATTACACATTATCCGGCTTAGAGTCTCTGATGAGAAAAAGAGGAGGGGGGAAGGGAACAAATGAGCGGGAAAAGGCTAAAACAGGAGCTTTATTCAACATAAAGGTGCAGAGCGTGAATACGTTTGTGTCTGGTGCCGTTTCTGTTTTTAAATGGGCACTTTACACAGCTGGAGCCTCTTAAAGACGTCTAAACTCAGTGCAACAAAAACATCCATCTTTGTCTGACCTGCACTAACAGATGCCACCTTTAACTGAAAACACATTTAGTCCAAGGATACCAAGAAGCATCCAAAAGAGAAATAAATCCACATTTTCAGTTTTGTTACAACAAGCAGAGTTAAACCAGAATGAACTTTGTGTTCAGGCCATCTTATCTTTCCCTTGGCAAGAAAAGAAGGCAGACAGTGGTGGCAAGGATGTCTCCAGATATGTCTTATCAATGCTTGACCTCAGTGTCTTTGTTAAAAGAGAAACATTTTCTCTGAAGAATGTAAAGATACGCATCAGGGCCTGGACAGCACATCTGAGAATGTGACAGTCTCACACCTCTTATCAGGAAGGGCTGATAAAAATAAAGCCATGATTTCACAGCCTAAATTCTCATAGATTCATGTCGTTTAGAAATAACTTTTGTGCAGGTTACACTTATTAATGGCTTCTCAGATCTACAGACTTTGGGTTAAAATTTGAAATAACTTGCACTACAAATAACTTCAATTTCGGGAAGCCTGAGTTGAGTTGTGTAGGGAAGACAAGCTCATACCTGGGGGAGCGCAATGCTGAGCCATTGACTTGCTCAGGCGTCTGTGTGAGATGGGAGTCACCCTCTCCCTCGGGCCCTTCTGTGGTGCTCTCCAGCAGCAACTCTGAAGTGTTACTTTCCCCAAAGTCCTCAAAGTGCTCCTCCTCTCCACCAATGACCGTCACCAGGGAGTGGTTATGGAGCTCTGAGTTCAGGGAAAACCTGAAACACACAGTGGAAGAGTTGCTGAGCGTGCCCACAGGCATAAACAACAACACTGTTAATGTCAAGTCCAAGTTAAAAAAAGAAAAGAGGAAAAAAAAAGTGCCAGGTTAAGACAGAAGTAACATCTGTCTGAGCATAAATAGCCACACTTCCATAAACTTAACAAACCTTAATCTCTAAAGCTCAGAATCTTGGATCTAACCAGATCAAAACAAGCACAATTAATCTTTCCCCGAGAAGAGCAACAATCTGGACAAGTTCGATCGCTCGTCTTCAAAGGTAATCTGTTAATTCACATTAATCCCGAGGCCTGCTTTTGGCTGAAACAACATGTCTTGTACTCTGTTAATGCAAAACCTCAAGGGCAACACCTGAGACATGTGACTGGAGTCTTTGTGGTGTTTAATGTGGGTCAAGTTTACTGAAAAACCTGAGACTTTCACCCACATGACTGCTCTGGCTGTTGTGTGCAGCAAAACATAATTCAGGTGGAGGGCTGGTCTTAAGGACTTTATAGTAAATTTGAGTTACAAAACAAGATTTACTTTCATGTACCAGGAAAGGTTCAGAGAAGAGCTTTCCTGTAGTCCAGCAGGATGTTGGAGGTCTTAAATGTGCACAGACACACTCTTACAGGAAGAGGATGCCTAAATCAGCAGAAATCTCTGCTTTTTCAGCGCATCGTGACATGATTTGTTTTGCTTATTGTCTAATCCAAAGCAAACACTCCTAAGCACTCTTAAGTAATAATTCAGTTTTAGCGAAAAAACAAAAACAAAAACGCATCGAGCTGAACGGATTAAATTGAACAAAACCAATGTTATTGTTACTCACCCTTTATTCAGGCTCTTGCTACTTGGCCCCATATTGAGGTCCCTCGCACAGAGAGACGGTGACGAGAGAGAACGCATTTTTAAGCGCCCTCCGCTGCCCTGGCGTGAAAGCCTCGGAGCAACTGGAGTTAAAACCCCTGACAACCAGAGTGGAATCCTGAATTTTCACAGTTTACCTCAATCTAAAAACAAAAACCACCACTCTCCAGTGTAGAGAAAACAAATCCTGCGGAGCTGCAAGTTGCCAGCGCTACATGACGGATGCTGCTGCCGCAAAGACTTAAGGCCGTGTACTGGTAAAGGCTGACTGTGAGTGGCTTAATCAGATTTGAAGCTAAGCAATGACCAACAGACAGCCCTGCTGACTGTCCAAGGGCCAAATGTGTGTGGGGGACACAGGGGTAGGACAGAGAAGGGAGGAGGTGGCTAATCCTGTTAGATTCTTAATCCCCACTTCAGTGCATATACTCCTCTCCTAAAATCTCTTTTGAATGCAGACTCGAGCTAGGGTTCGCTCAGCTAACCATGATACATGGCAAAACCTCAGCTGACGTAGCGTCCACTTAGTTTCATTTCATCAGTAATGCTCACAGTAAGCCAAAGATTGTATTTGACAAGGAAGCTGTATTAAAAAAAAAAAAAAAAAACTTATATAGACATCAGTGTTGGACAGTAATAACATTTTAAATAGGACCTAATCTCCTTTCACAGGATTGATGATATCACTGGTATTACGGAAGGGTCCTTTTTTTTGGCAATTAATGCATTTCCAGTTTTTAGTAAGCAGGTGAGTGAATATAAACACTTTAAAATGTAACTTTGAGTCAGACTTAGAGGTGTGGGTGATGACTTGAGTAAATGGAGAGGCAGAATCAGATTAGCCTTGCAAAAAAAAAAAAAAAAAATGGGGGGAAACAACACAAAAAAAGAGCCAACTCAACACTTCCTGGAATTCAAGGTTCACACATGGAATGGGAAGTCCAAACACATCCATGTCAGGCAGTCCACTCCGATCCGTCACCAAGCCGGACAGACAGGTCACACAGTCAGCAGATGAAGCCACATAGCTGTGCACTTCCTCTCTCGTGTTTACCCTAAAAACTGTATCAACAAGAACGCTTGCATGCTGACATAAATCTCATCTGCCACAGCCACCGGCACTGTTATTTATGTGGGCTGTCATTTGAAGTGTCCGACTGTTTGAGACGACAAAAAAAAAAAAAAAAAAAAAAAAAAAAAAAGATCTTACAGTCTTTAATTCGATTAAACGAGGACTACTGACGAAAATATTAATGTGAGAATCAGACACCAACCCTCACCTCCCGCTAGTCTGTAGATCTGGAATGCAGACTTTACTCATTTTGTCAACTGTGAGTGGGCTGCACTGGTGCTGAGATAACTGAACGCTTTACAGAGCACAACCTCAAATTTAACAGTAAAACCAATTAAAAGAAAGTCCAGAGCAAAACAATTAAACCCACATTCACCATGAATGGATTTAAAAAAAAAAAAACAAACAAAAAAAAAAACCAACTATTTTTGAAAACACACAATGACCAATTTTAGCAAAGAGAACTTTTAAAACAACTCACCTGCTGTTATTAGAAACAGCTTTACTAAATAACCAGAGAAGATGAGTAGATCTCAGCCTCTTTTCAGGTCAGTAAAAAGACTCCTTCACTCCGACCACCGTAGGTAAAGAATAGTAGAAGGGCTTTCTGTGTTCAAGGTTTCTTGTGCTTACACTGTGCAGATTCCAAGTTATCTCTGAATAAGCTTTCCGGTTCAGTCATACTAAAAACACTAACAGTGAATGTTCTCACTGATTATGAACCTTCGCCCCAAATACTCTATAGCATGTATGATTTCACTAGGAAAAATAAAAGAAAGAAAAAAGCTAAAGAACATTACTGATGTTCTGCCGGCGAAGTTTTGAGGCAATACTGAAGCTTAGAACAACAATTTGGCCAAAACAACAAAAGTCTTTATTACAGAGAGTTACTAACTAACCTTTTGTCTCCTGTATGAATGAAACCATTTTTGAAATTTACCAGCACATAATTTAAGTGATAGCAGGTAAATCAACCACTGACATCTATACTTAGATATGAAATACAGGTGTCTCCATTAAGGACAACAAACACAGTAACGCATGGATGACCTCAGGGGAACTGAAGGCATTAAGTTAGTCTATTGCCTCTCTTTAATCTGCCTGTCTGCTGACCCACATAGAACCCAAGTGATCCAGTGTCACACACGAAAGACCCATAAACCACATGATCTGTATAAAAGGGCAGTGCAGGGCAGCTCCAGGGCTAACCCTCAGCTAGAGATTTAACACACATTTTTGGGGGAGATTTCTGTACCCAGGAGCCATTACAAACATGATTTCTACATCTCATGACAAGTGGAATAAAGGGATGATGTATGACTCAAGACACTGAAGTTTACAATCCAATTTTCTCAGCCTTGAACAAACACACAAGTTCTTTTTTTTTTTCCAGGAAATAAAGGCATAGCAGCCAACACTGACATGAAATTTATATACCAACCTGTTGCTGCCATCTTCAGGGTCGTGTAGCGTGGCCTCGATGCCGCTGTCCGTCTCCACATCCTCGTGCATCTCAGGAGGTACAAGGGCCCCTGTGTCCTCATCAGTGAAGGTCTCGCACTCACTGTAAGTGCTCTCGGAGCCCAGGTATGCACTGTCTGTCACCTCATTTTGCTGCAGTCACAAAAACAGAATAAGGTTGCATTACAGGAAAGCACTCAGGCGGTAAACTTCCACATCCATCACAATTTTAATAATTTACTGGGGTACTAGCTGGGCATATTTATGGGTGGAATTTAATATGCGCAAATATTATTTTAGTTGGCCGAATGTAAGTATTAACATCGAGCAAACACTGCCCCAATACAAAGTACTCACAGTGCTCTACACATTTCTTATGATTATGAATTTGAATGAGACTAACCCACCATGGTGGTTTGGTTGTTTTGGGGAAGATAAATAAGATTGTCAGTTGTTGTTTATTTGACACACACAAACTACAGCTGTCAACAAGGCAGTCATTTCAAAGATGAGCTAATCTTGAATATTCCTGTCTAGCCAGCAGGTACTGATGCCAATTAAAGCAGCGAGCAAATAAATCTCAGCACATAAACAGACTTCAGAGACTGCTTCTGATGGCAGTTCCAAGCAAAACCTGCTGCATCAACACCTCTAAGCAACATGTTCAAACAAAATGCTTTGCAAACAACAAATACCAACTGCTTAAAACTGATACACGCCAGAAAATAGACATCTGAAGTCATCAGCAACCAGAGACTCATCAGGTGTCAGAGCTGTGAAGCGATAATAAGGCAAAGGTGAGTCATGTTGGAAAATTTAACATACCAGTCTACATGGAGTATCAGAAGATGAGGGACCCTGAGGGGTATCCACCATGCCAAAAACCATTTTTCCTGCCCAGGCTCACTCACGGAAAAGCTGGCCTGCCATAAGAGCCCACTTATAACTCCTACTATTCCTTCCTCACCTTCACTCTCAGAGAGAGTGCAGAGAGCGTCAGGGAAGGGAAAAAAATAATAATACTGTTGCACACTGGGTGGTCAGAGGGGTGGAGACAGTGACAAAGTCCAAAGAGCAACAGAAGTCAGCTGTAATGCTCAATCAGCTGCTAACAGCTCTGAGTGAAAATGCCACACAATCAGCTAACAGTTAAAATTAACAATTTAATTATTCCCGGCTCACCCTCAGAACTTCACTTAGTGCCACAGTGTTAACGTTTAAATGATCACGCCACGTTCTGCATGTCTAAAACTGTACAGCGAACGAGGTCTCCACGTTACAACCACCTAAATTAAACAGTCTGTGTGCAAACACTGAGGGGGCAGTGTTTAACAAAGTTTCAGCTCAACAACACCTGTCATTGTCCCTGTAAAGCAATTAAAGCTGAGGTGGAAATGTGAACATCAGCAAGGGCAGAAGTTATTTAATAAAGGAAAAATGTGGTGGACTGGGTGTTGCATTTCTCTCTCATGCCAGGCTCGAGCTGAACAGCCTCACCTTGCTTGTTTTGAAAGCAAACAGGGACAGAACAGCACGGCCATTGACAGAGAGCGAGAGCAAGGGGAACTTTTTCCTGCCAGAAACTCGAGGAAAAAAAGAAGGCCACGGACACAGGTGTGGCGTCGCCTTCAAACATTCACAGAATAAACCCCCGGACTCTGCTTATGGGTTCCAAAAACTTGCAGCCAAAGCGGCTGGGATATTTTAAGTAGAAAAAATATTATAGATAATTGCATCAAGGATAAAAACAAGGAACCAAAGTCTAAAGAGAATAAAACAAAAACAGTTAACACTGCGTGGACTGCTACAGCTAGGGTATATTCACCTCGGTGATGATAATTTACAGTTACTTTCAAATAGCCGCATCTATTGGTAGTAATTAGGTAGTAAGTAATTCAAATGGCTATTTTTGGAAAATAATAAAAAGAAATCACCCATAAACATCCAAGGAATCAACAGATATGACAAGACAAAAACACTGAGAAATAATACAATTCATAACAGGCTTTGTCCCTGTTAAAAAAGTACTTTGAAGCTTGATAAGACTTCTGTTGGAAATCTATGTCATAACTAATGTAGCAACCAGAAACTCCTCTTATCCTTACACTGCAACCTTTTACTCAAGTTGTTCTGGTATACGTCAACCCGACGTGTAGTTGCATTTCTCAGGATGTGCACATAAGGTTTAGAGAAGGTTGTGGTGTGGGATTAAAATGTGGTTCTGGTTATGGCTTAAGTCACAGTGTAGACCTGATGCAGAAGTATGATTCCCATGCAAGTATGTCATCTACCCAGTTTATGTGCACTCATTTACAAGTTGCTTTCTTAACTACAACTAAAAGCTTTCCAACAAGTGTGAATCCATCTAGACTCACAGATGGCCAGACAATAAAACACTGCTCCCACCAGCAGTATCTCTTATCTTTTCCCCCCCTCTCTTTGCAAACATGTAGAGCCCTCTCGCTTCCTTCCCTTTGACTGGCTGGCATGTCTTGTCATCTATAGAGAAGTCTCACATCTACGAAAAGCAAGACCTCATCTGAAAATAAACCTTAAGCAAGTCAGGTGAAAACCAAGCTTTCACATGTAAAGCCCTTACTGTGCAGAGCAACTTGTCAACCTAGTGGATTCATTTAATGCATTTAAATTTAGTTTGCAACAAGGCCATGACTGTAATTTTAAGCCTCAGCTGTCAATCAAGTGAAGCTCTATAACAGTTATTGTGCTCAAATTAGATTAGCCAAAATAAAAAGTACAAAGATCAATTCTGTTTTTATTATTTATTTATTTTTATATCCTAGTATTTGTGAAGAATGCTTAAATATTTATTCAATCAGTCTCTCACATACGTGACTGCACTTCTACACAACATCAAGAGAGGGCGCCGATACCATGCATTGTAAAGCCACTAAAACAACAGTCGTCCTCCAGCACAGCTCGAGGCACACATAATGGCAGAAACCTTTCAATTCTGCAGAGGCCAGCAAAAATGACTGTTAAATATACAAGTTTCATACACCAGAGAAGACAGGAATTCTAGATATGCTGCCCACAACAGTAAAGAAAAAAAAAGAAGAAAAAAAAGTCCAGAGACATGAAAACAAGCTCACATTCCAGCTAATTCAATATTTGTCAAAGAATACTCAAAAGCCTCGCCTGCCAGATGCTATTTAGTGTCAGCCAAACCAGGGTGTTCAACCCGTGGAGCATTCATAGAGCAGTAATGATAGCTCTGCAAGCCACTCGGTGAATTACAGTGGGAAGAGTGAGAGTGCACAGGGAGTTCAGCCTGCAAGCTTCACACTGTGCTGCTGCATGCACCACCAGGAACTGACAGCACAACAGCTGGACCGCATGCACAACTTGAGAGCGACTAAGCATCCCTGTATGGCTCCTCACCTCATCGTACTCCTCTTGACAGCCGACAGCTCCATCCCCTGGACTGTAGTTTACACTGTATAGCTGTGGCTCCGGGCCTGCAGATGTGACAGGAGGAAGACAGGTTTAATGTGTACAGAACAAACAAAGCCAAACAGAAAAGAAGGCTCAACAAACACGAGACTGGTCTGCACAGTACAATGTCCACGAGCAAGCAGAGAGCCAAGATGCAGGATTATGTCTCTGCAGGTGAATGAAACAACTGAAGGAAAATACAATCAAAGAAAAAAAAAGACACCTGCAAGTGTGCAGGTAAATTATCACCAATGGATTCAGGTGTTTATGTAAATGTTGTGCACAATTTGGGATTAAAATTGAAGAGCCTGTCAGCTTTTGTTTCCCCTTACATGCACAGCACAATAACAAAACTGCATTTATTTAATCTATTCGTGCCTTACTTTGGTTCTATTAAAATGTCAGTCTTCGGTTTACATTAACATTTCTCTATTTTTTTTTTTTTTATAAATAAACCATGAAACCTGCTTCTCCCTACAGTGGTAAAAAGAACAAACCTCCATTTAATTAAATTATTAGCCTCAATTTGCAAATGAGTAAAGGTGTCACCGTTAACAAAGATTCATTTTAAATGTTGACTTTTAGAGGGGGGAGAAAAACCAGACTTAAGCATTTTAATCAGCACATTTCAGAGTCTACACCTGAGCTGCCCTACTTGTATATTTACAGTCAGCAATCTAAGAGTGATTTGACAGCAAACATTATGTAACTTTTACAGACGTTTGAGGGGCTACAGAATGTCAAGCGACTGGTACAATAAAACTGTAAAAAGGGCAACAAGCAACCATATCCACTTTATATTTGTCAATAAAACCCTCCACTGAAAGCACCAACAGTGCAACCTGAGACGGACCAACGACAGTCCCATCAGCCATTGCGGCTCCGTATCTAGTAAACAGAGGAATGAATAGCGCCCTGCTGGGAGAACAGAACACAAACAGTGTCCTGGCAGTAGACCCAAGGGTTTTTATGCAACCCTTTGCTCTTGGAGACTCACACATTGTGGGCTATTGAAGCGAAAGGAGTGCACAAAGAATGGGCCTGAGAAGCAGGCTGCCCACCTGTAGTCTCTTGGCATCATGTAAAAATTTCAGAGCACAAATATTTCTAGGCAATGTTTTGTTGTTCCAGACATGCCACAGCCACTATGGGATACAAGGCATTTCCATAGCCTGCAGACTTCCCTTTATTAAAAAGGTACAATTTTCCGTGAGGAGTGATCCAAAAATGGAAACAAAAGAAGAAAGTTGAGTGAAGCTTATGATGAACGTATACGCCAGGCTGGGACCCGAGGGAGCAGATTTTGGCCTCCGTTTACAACAAGAGGAGGTCACTGCTGGGGTAATGAATACGACATGGATGCAGTGGCTCTAAATAGGAATAGTTTAGCTGAAAACTTTCTCCTAGGAGGAAAAAACTGATTCATTAACCACAGAGCTAGACGCACCTAAAGTAATGGAGAGGCAGTAAGGGAAACACAGGACAATACTAGTGGCCAGTTTCAACAATATCATCCTTGTTCCTTGAATACGGTATGTGCACTAATCAAACAAAAACACCAAAACAAACCAGAACGACTCTGCTCAAATGACAGGAGCACAAAAACTGCCTATTAAACCAGTTACTTGAGACTGCTTGAGCAGTGAAATAAGAGCATCTAGTAAGAAAATGTACACAAAAGCAGAGTTTACGTTGAGATATTTATCCTTGGATGCAAATACAGGCAGTATCTGTCCTTTCTTTGTGTTTTCATCACTGTACTCTGCATCAACAGTAGTGACTAGTGGGAGAAAAATATAGTGGGGAAAACTGAGAGGACAGGGCAGAGAGAGAAGACTGTAAATAATTAAGATGAACAGGACGCTCTGCCCAAACCTCATCTCTCCCTCTGCCAATCCCGCTCTGAAACCTCACCAGTCAGCCCATGTGTCTGTGCATCTAACACTTTCCAGTGCATGACTTATTAATGGTTTGAGAAACTGGATATATGCAACCTAGAAAGCCTTGGGAATGAGTTCTTCAAATCAATAGTCCGGGCAGATTGAGGCATCAGTTTCACTGCTGCAATGACATCACCACACACCCAGCACTCTCTCTTTGAACTAATGTCCACTTTTGAGCAAATGTGAACATTAATTCAATATTTGGATAAGATTTGATTTTGATGTTATAACAAACCCACAAAAAGGATTAGGAGTTGTGTCTGATCTGAATGAGAAACTCAGGATGCAACATGCCATCTCTAATGATGTGTGCTCGGGTATGAAGCAGGGTTTTTTTTTTTTTTAATGCTTGAATAATTCATAGATTGTTAAGTGGCTTCACACATACACACAAAATAAAGGTCAGACTGGACTGAAATGGACAAGTCTGGCTCTTTGGAAACAAAATGTAAAGAAATTGGGGCAAGGGGTAGCTCAAGAGATTTTTGTACCACAAGTGTCTGAAACAAGGAGACGTAGTGGGTCCACAAAAAGAAGGTACTAAGGAACAAGTTTACAAGGAAAACAAAAGGAGATGCGCGATGACTCACCTCCATTGCTAATGGCAGAGATTCCACGGTGGAAATCTTCAAAGCTGATGACACCGAGCCCACTTGGATCCAAAAACTTTGTCAGATCCTTCACCTAAAGAGGGACACAAACAAGAAAGATTTCACTACACTGACATCATAAAAGCTCCCTTTCATAAACCTACCATATGTTCAGCATGGATGCTTCAGGGAGATGTAATGACTGACATAAGGGGAAGTTTTCCACAAAGAACGACAAACTACTTAGCTGCAATGTTTGCAATGTTTGCATACTGACTTCAGGGCAGTATTTTTGCTTTGGGCTTCATAAAACTGTTAAGAAGTCACTCAGGATCATTCAACTCATTTGACAGTTTAACTGCACAATTACACAAGCTCCATTTTTGATTACAGGAGCAGAAAGTCACCAATAAAACACTTTAGAGCTTGAGAAGAAAAATCAACTTTTGCAGATGTGAAGAGTTTCACTTTATTGAATTCTGGACAAGTTTATAAGGATGTTAGCTTTATAGCTTTTTTTTTTTTAATAAATCTTTTTAATTTACCAAGAGGGCTTGTTTGGATAGGTTATCTGGCTTCCAGAGATTTAACTTGGGAACTAGCTATCAGCAAAAGTACCTCACCCTCCGAGCATAAAATGTCACACATGGGGGAAAAAAAAAGACTAACACATGATTGCAGCATACTTTCAAGCATGTAACAGAATTACAGCAGCTGGGTGGGAGCACCAGCGACGTGAGGTTTCTGTGGTTTGGGATCACTTCTTCTCTGAGAACGTCAGCACAGTGTGAACATGTTAAAGGGATTGCTGTTCTGTGCGTGGCGTCTCTGGAACACTTTTTATATCAGTTACACATAAAAATAACTTGATCTTCTTAGCAATACTGAGCTCCTACTCAAGAGGCTGAGAAGGTTGAAACTACTCAAACTGACTCTGTCAAGCCTGTGGCTTATGATCTGGGTTTGATTAATTAAATCCAGCTGTACTGGGTGAGAGAAGGGGAGTGAGTGGTATCGCTAAATAAGAGTTCATGCAGCAATGTTGAGTTCAAGCATCCAGCTCATCCAGCAAGCATGTCTGCAATGGTGAACCCTTTTTCTTACAGCAGATTTGATACGCTCACCATTTTCTAGGTTTAAAAAGAGCACAGATGAAGACAGTTTTTTGTATTGAACCCTAGCAACTAGGAATCATTAGGTTTTCCCCCTTACTTTTTTTTTTTTTTTTTTTAAATAAAGTTTTTTTTCTTGTTTTTTTTTTATCATCCGTGCCTCTTTGGTTCTCATGCACTAAAAAGTTATTGGACAATAACAACAAAAAAAACAGAAGGCTAGATTACCAACTTCCCAGGCAAATCGTGTGTGATTAAATGCTCTGTTCAAACAAGACAAACATGCAAAGGGTACTACAGCTCGCTTCTAAAATAAACAAAAACTACATCCAGCAAAAAATACTGGGTATAGCTAGCATAACACATGTGTGCTACAGCTATGCAGTCACATGAAAGCAGGGCCAATCCTCACTAAATACAGCAAAGTATTTTTTGTCAGAAATGTTGATCAATAGTAGGACCAAGGGCCGAAGCATAAGTGCGAAGAACTGCCGTTCCTTAAATGACCAAAAGTCAATCCACACAGACTCTCTTCACTGCACCCTGCACAGTTAA